TGACGTTTATTATTACTTAGGGGTATTGTTAATGTTAAAATGTCAGGAAACGACAAATCATGTTAGAATTGTTTTCTTGAAATGAAGAAATGAAAAGTCATTGCAATTTTTTTACACTTGTGTAAAATATGAGACTTCAAATTAATCCACTTTCATAATTATTTGCACATATTTGAAAATATATATTTTAATATTATTGAAAGACGTATTTAATTGAATTCCCGTAGAACGACCTTCACATTTAAATCCGATTTGGCCGACGTCGTGTCTCATACAACAAGATATGCACCGAGGGTCGTTATTCGTCTTTGGCAAAAGCTTTTCTTACCGGTTAGACGTATCTGCATTCGTATAGTTAATGCACCCTTGAAGAGAGCTCGCCCTGTTAACTCGTTGCACCGGTAAGACAGATCCCCACGATTCGATCGTTCATTGGTTTACCACTTTTAATGCGTCATTCATGTCTCTCGAATTTCATTCTATTTTACGATATTGTCAAGTTTTCGACGATAGTCGAGTTTATTTCGTTCATTCAAAAAAATATACGTTTTAATATTATTCATACAATTTAATATATATATATAAATATATACAATGTATGAATACCCACGTAAAAACTTCCAGTTATTATTATTATTATTATTATTATTATAAGCCAGAAGAATGTGTGTCCATCGAAATGGAGGGTTTTACTTTTTTCTTTTTCAAAGTCAATTTACAGAAATAATTTGTTAGTAAAAAATTCTCTCGATTGGATTGGTTGTCAAGCAAACTATGGGTATGACGATTTGTGTCGAGAAAGATGAAAGAAATGGGATCAGAGGAAAAGTGATCCGTTCTAATTAGATAGTTTCCAAACTTTTGACAAAGAGTTTCTATTTATGAAACAGAAGAAACACCATTATATACGTCCCTGAAACATCATTCCATCTGAGAATTGTGTAACGATATGGTGTATCGTAGGGCGTTGCATCCTACCATTATCCCTGTCAATGTCCTTGTGGTTTTTGAGTAAATAACCAGTTGAAATCACAGTAATCTCAACTGTCGAACGTCGCTTCGGTTGTGGTTCCTTCATTTTAGAAACCGCAAACAATATGTATCGGACCAAATCGTGGCATGTTCAACCGAGCTATTTTGAATTGTGTTCATAATCATTTTGAAACTGAAATATACTAATAGCCTAGTGTCCCCTGAGGGACAATTTAAACTAGACTAACTGTTCAGTCACATACAATAACGTTTCATGTTCTATTTAAGCTATATATATATTGTAGAGCATATTGATTGTTTAAAGCATGTTATACTATTTTTAAATATATCTTGCAATAATATATTCTATTATAAAATATTTATAAAGTATTTTGTATTATTTTACTGCCATTTTCTGGAATTACTACATTCATAGAAAAATCAAAACTTTTTATTTAGAAAACCAATTTAGTATTGAAATATTTATAAATTATCGAGGATGCATAAAATATATTCGTAAATGATTTATAAATAATAATCCATCAATTTTTTTTTAGCCATTACTTTTTTATTTATTCAGTTATGATATTAGACGAAGAAATATAAGGAAGGGATGTGTAATAGAGATGAAAAAATAAATATAAAAATTCTGCTTAACATTGTGTAATATATTTAACGAATTATCTTTTCGACGATTGTGTATCTAACATTTTAATTAATGTTTTATAATTTTTTGTCGAAATTTATAATATTTAATAGAACAGGAAAAAAATATGATTAACCAATTGTATGAGAGTTAATATAAATAATCGTAAGGAATTTAAAGGTACTTTGGAATGGTCAACAACATTTGTTAGTTAGATTACAATAAAAATGTCTAGAAATAATTTTTCATAATTCTCCTATATAAACTTCTCAATATATTTGTATAAGTTTCAGCTTCTCACACACTCGTACACCCATTCTCTCGTTCACGCATACATTTATATAAAATAACGTAACATTTTTCTCTCGTCATTATTTTTTTTTTTTTTAATATATATAAAATTCTATAATCTTCTCTAATTACTTTACTTTTTTTTTCTTTTTTAATATATAAAATTTTATTATCTTTTAAATAAATGTTTTCGTGTATAATTTTAAAAATAAAAATATCTAAGATCTATATAATAATTTTACGCAAATTTAGAAGAACGTCGTCTAGCGAAAGGATTTGTTTTCAACAATTTTAGTGTCGGCCCATTATTCACGCAATACGTGTCCAAAATTCAACGAATCTAAACAAACGATTAAAGCCCATGGTGACATTTCTCGCATAATAAAGTTGAGACACTAAAAAATTTTCGAAGTTACCTTAACTAATATTAGATATTCTAAATGAGATGAATAATATAGGAAGAGAGGTATGACTGTATCACAGATATTCGAACAAATGTTGTTCGTCATCTTCTGTATCGTACTTCGCGATTTTCTTGTTTCTTTTTTTTCTTTTTTTTTTTTAAACAAAATCTTCCAATATTGATTTTGTATTCCCTCTTATTTCTGTAACAAAAAGAAATCAAAATTGTATTAGTATAACACACATATATAAGCCTTAAATGAAATAATAGAAAAGTATTCATAAAATTTGAATGTTACACGAATTTTTATATAGAAAAAACCAAAAAGAAAACATGTTAGAACTAGCACCTACTATTTCGAGTAAATAGTCATTCGCGAGGAGTTTGACCAAAGAAGAAGAAGAAGAAGGGCCTTGGAGATAGCTCAACGATTAGATCAGTCTCCCGAAAAGCGGAAGACCTGGGTGTGTTTCGAGTCCCCGGACCAGTCAGTCCAGCGGCTCAATTATTTCACGAATCCTACAAAAATAACATCATAATGACGAGAGAGGGAAGAGGGGGCTGGGGGTTAAAACAAAATTTTTCAACGCAAAGAAAAAACCGTTTAAATCGAAAATATATTATTAAATGTCTACAAGTCAATAAAAATAATACTACTACTACTACTACTACTAATAATAATAATAATAATATTAATAATAATAATCGCAAAAAAAATGGTACTGAAACGAATGTTTCTATAGATAGAAGGCTTATTAAAGGACAAAAGAAGAAAAAAAAAGAAAAAGAAAAAGAAAGTCTCAGGTATAAGGATATATATAAAAAAAAGAAGCATAGGGGGGATGATTTTCAGGTTGGAGTAGTTTTAGTTAGGAAAAGGGTCTTGGAAAGAAGAGGAGAAGAAGAAGAAGAAGAAGAGGAAGAAGAGTATTCGACGAGAGGGAGAAAAAGTGAGTGAAAGGGAAAAGTGCATCGAGTTCCAGGGGAATTTAGGAATACGCAGAGATACGTAGGGACAAGGAAAGGAAATAAGCGAGAGGAAAAATGATGAGGGGGAAAAAAGAAGAGAGAAGAAATCTGAAAGAATGGTATATAAGTATACCGGTTTAAAAACCGACAAAAGTTGGGTGGGAACGGTGGGCAGGGGGTAGGGAGAGGGGGGATATGATATATCCTGGGAGATGTATTCAAGTTAAACGCAGCGCGCTAAACAAAATCGTTCCCTAGATAAAAAGGGAGTTGTTGGTACCAGTAAAAGAAAATTTCAAATGGGGTGGGGACATTGGGTAAAGGGAAGGGTGAGAGGGAGGGAGGGAAGGAGAGGGGAATCAAAAAGGTTGGAAAGAAGCGACGACAACTATAATCGAAGGGAAAAGGAAAAAGGAGGGATTCGACGAAAAGAATGCCGAAAGAATGCGACGTTATGCGATTCGAGGAGGAAGAGGGATTTACGAAAGAAACGTCCATCAAGATTAGATTCGTCGAATTTTCGAGAAGTATAATAATATGACGAGAATTGTTTGTTAGATATTTCTTGAAAACAAAATATGATAACGAAGTAGCCGATGAAATTATTTTTTGGGATAAAATTAGGTAAATTTCTTTTCAAAAGTACGTTTGCGAAACAACACCAATCCCGTGCACGGGTAAGTATAATTAATTTTTTTTTTGTTCCCACGTGACCGATCGAATATGGACGTTCGCAATCGTTCAGAAAGATAATTTTGACTTCTTCGGTGTGCGATGGCTAAGAGAGGGGGTAAGGAGGGGAAAGAAAAAGTAAAGGAAGAGAAAAAAAACAAAAAAATAGAAAAAGGATAACGAAAAAAAAAAACAAAATAAAACAAGTATAGGAAGATTGAATGCGTTTGATGGAGGGAGGTAGGGAGGAGGTCGGGGGGGGGGAGGCACGAGAGGAAGAGATTTGATGTAGAACGAATCGTGTTCAGGGAACGGTAGCGCGTGGACAAAAGGTGAGGAAGGAGGGAAAAACGTACGGGAGAATAAGGACGCGACTCTGATATGTGAGCGTGTGTACACTTACACACGTACACGTGGTGTACGACGCGACAGAGTACGCTAAATTCACGCGTATGAGTACACATACGTGGAAAAAGAAGTAGTAATACAAAAGCGTCTCTGTCTTTCTCTCTCTCTCTCTCTCTCTCTCCTCGAATGTTATACGCGGTGCCCCCTTTGAATGGAGTCTGCTATTTGAATGGTCCAAGCTGTAGCGAAGGGGTCGCTGACGAGCATTGTGAGAGGGCAAGGTCACAAATCTACTCGTAATATTTTTTTCCGACATTTCTTTTTTAAGAGCGCTAATATTTTTTTTATCTTTATATCAAAAAATTTACTATAGAGATATCCAAAAAACAATAGAGCGAGAGGATTAAAACTTTGAACAAAATTTTGAGATAACTTTCTCATTATAACAAACGAATATGATTTTATATATATATTGTCTCTTCTCGATTGGATAACGATATTAGAAATATTCATTTCTAGGAACAATGTACTCGACTAGAAGGATTTTTATATATTAAACGAGAGATACGTAAAATGAAATGTTAGCATGCGCATTAGCAAATGAAAAATAAAATACAGAATAAGAATAATAACACGATCGTTAAACGAAACCAACCTCGAAGACGATACAGAAGTATCATCGGGAAATCGTTGTTGGCCTTAGCTTTCCTGCCATTTACATATGATTTCTAGAAGGGCCTCGTTGGTCCTCATATCCTCGCCGTAATTGTAATCTTCGTATTGAGATGCGTAAGGATCACCCGAGGACGTTCCGTAACTTTTACTACTGGCCGATGAACTCGGCGTAGGTGAACTCGATGATTCCGAACAGGATGCTGGTACGTAAACCGAATTATTGTTTTGCCCGATTGGATGATGAAAATTGTGAAGATCTGGGGTAAGTGAAGAGGGATTAGCGTGATGTTGCACTTCATTACCACATAATCTGAGTTCGGGGGCGTGATGATTGGAATCGGTATTGAGTCCATTGGTAGAAATACACGTGTTAGGTGACGTCGGTATTGTGGTTTGTGACGGGGTAATGACCGATGAGGAAACGTCCGAACCATTGTCACTCTCTTCTAAAAGACGTTGAAGACCTCTTATGTATTCTACCGCCATTCTGAGGGTTTCAACTTTGGATAATTTTTTGCTACCTGCTCTGGAACCACCGTGTGTCCCAGCTGTGCTACCACCTAAGGCTTGAGCGATGTTTTGAGGTATATGTTGCCTTAGAGTGGCAAATCCGTTATTCACCTGTTTAACGCGATTCCTTTCACGCGCGTTACGTCTCGCCACGGAAGCCGGTTGATGAGGGACAGTCCCATAAGCTCCCGTTGTTTGCCCATATATTTTCGATTTCTTACATGCGTGCAACTGTAAGCTTTTCATATCATTGTTCGACATACTATTAGTCGAGACAATTACATTGCTACGATGGTTTTGCATGGGTCTTACGGTAGATACAAGAGCATGGTTGTGATGCTGTTGCTGCACGCTCAATATGATGGGCATTACGTTCGAGTTCTCCTGCTTCAGTCCCACAAAGGTCATATCACTGATCCGATACCCCCACCGCGAGAGTAGGAGTTCTCGCGCGTGCCTGCCGACCTTGAAGAACGAGCTCTTCTCTACGTGTATCCAAGTAATGGCGTAAGAAAATCAAGACTGCCTGCAGTCTAACCCTCTTCTTATCTATCTCTTTCTCTTTATTTTCTATTTCTTGTTCTCTTCTATTCGTCTTCTCTCTCTCTCTCTCTCTCTTTCTCTCTCTCTCTCTCCCCCTCTCTTTCCTTTCCTCTTTTACTTTTTCTATCCCTCTCGTTATCTATGTTTATTTAGCGTCTTTACACCTTATCAAAAGTCAACCGAAAAAATGTATACCGATATAAACGTGCTATAAACAGATTCAATTCACGTTAGAAACGTTAACGTGCAATAAGTACCACACCCTCGACGCTACAGTGTACGGTCCTGGCTCCCGAAATGCTTTGCCAGGGAGGGTTCGGGGTCTTATATAGGCAGTGCGGGCACGCGCCGAATCCCCTCCATTAACTCTCATACTCGGTCTCAGGCCCTAAACCCCTCGTCTTCCCCTACCTTACCCTACCGATCCGCACTGCCTCATACCCCGTATACCCCCACCATACTGGCCCCAAAGGCCCTACGAGACTCCGAGATTCTCATCTCTTCTCGAATAATCGTACCGATCGTAGACAATCTTCTCTGTAATTGTGCCTTTACCACTTATTTTGCTATCTTTTCAATCGATATTCAAATTCCGACAAGGCCGATTGAACTTTTTTATTCATAGAAAAGTTTAACTAATGATATTTATTCTTTATACTTTCAAGTTTATTACATTTATTAACATATATATATAGGTTCTATAACAAAGGTTCAATGGTTTTGAATATTGCGTGCATGCGTGCAAATAGTTTGTGCATGATCTTATGTATACCACTTGAGAAGATTTTGTAAAAAGAACTAGACTTTTATGTTAAGCGATGCGAATTGAAACAATAATAGAATGAAGTTAATCAATTTATTCAATTTCATTAATAAACGAAAATTTTGTGAAATAACGTCAATAAATTGGGCTTATCAATCAGACAAATATATCTATCATAAAATTTCTTCGTAAAGAATAAATAGTGTTCCATTTGGATATAAAATAACTTCATCATCATCATCATCATCATCATCATCATCATCATCATCATCATCATCGTTATCATCCCAACGATGATGGAAAAAAGTATATTTCGGAGTAAAAATAACATTCTACCCTGTGTACTGAGCTGATAATACAGAAGCAATAACAAAGTTGCGTGAGAGACACTGACGGCGTACGCGTACGAAGGGGCCAACATCCCCACTGGCGGCTGGTCTGTGTCTCGAGGATCGAAATTTGAACAGTTACCGGGAGAAAGAAAAGCTGGTCCATGGGTCAAGAGGAACGAAAGAGAGAGAAGAAGAAGAAGAAAAAAAGAGAGAGAGAGAGAGAGAGAGAGAGAGAGAGAGAGAGAGAGAGTGATAGGGAGAGTGAGAGAGAGAAAGAGATAGAGAGATAAAGATGAAAGAGTGAAAGAAGGAGAGATCGAGACGCGTTTGTAGAGAAGCAAAAGAAGAGGATGAAGAAGGCGGAGAGGGTGGAGAGAGATCCGTGGCGGACGCATCAGAGAGGAGAAAGAGAGAGAGAGAAAGAGAGAAGGAAAGAAAGAAAGAGTAAGAAAGAGTAAGCCGACGGCGGTTGTCGCAGAGGAAAGAAGAAAGAGATAGAAGGTTTTATAGGGAGGTGGGGTTGCAAGCTAAGGCCCCGGAGGGTGGAGGGAGTAGTGACGCGAGCCGTCCTCCCCTCCCCTACTACGTGGCGCACGCCGACCTCCATCCGGCGGCTCGCTTGCCCCACCACCGTTCTTCGAGGCCTCATCTCTTCGTGAAGTCTCGAAGCCTGAACCATGCGTGCATGCATGCGTGCGTGCGTACGTACATACATACGTACGTACGTACGTGCGTGTTACATACATGCGTGAGTTACACACATATGGGCATATATATAGATATATATTCACATTCGTGTTGTGTAGAGTAAATCGTACACACGAGAGCGTACGCGTGCTCTCGACTGGGCCGCGTGCTCCACCAAGTGGGACTGAGAAAGAAAGAATGAAAAGGAGAAGAGTACTGCGTGCGACCAGTTGCCTTTAAATGTGGTACGTACCTGAGACTTGGGGTCTGTGTGAATGTATATAAAAGAACAGGAACAGGTATATACTCTCTATCCTCTATATTCTATCCTTCTCGGTGCTGTTCTCCCTGTCGAAAAAGTCGGGGGCACAGGAAGGGTCAGTGGACGATTTTCGAAGGGCTCGCGTCTCTCTGTCCTGTGATAAATACGATAGAAGTCTCACTTCTTCGTACGTTGTCCTCGTCGTCGTCCTCGTCGTCGTCGTCGTTGATTTCGGAAGGAATGGTTTTGATCTTTCATACCTGGGGAGGTTTTTTCTCCTTTTTTTTTCTTTTTTTTTCTTTTTCTCTTGATTAGATACAAAAGCAATGATGATGATAATAATAATTGTCAAATAGTTTTCATTTATTTATTTATTTATTTTGTTTTTTTGGTTTAATATATTATATTATATATTATTTAATATCTTTAATTTTTCTTTCTGAAAGTGTATATATTTATCTACTATATTGTATCAGGATTGGCTAATAATAAAATAGGAGAAATTTAACTAATTGTAAGATTGTAATTTGTAATTGGACAGTTTATCTCGTTCCTTTTAAGTATTCTTAATTATTTGATTATATACTTTTAATAATTTTCACTTGAATAGAAAAGGGGATTAACGTAGATATTATATCGTTGTATATATAAATATCTTGGAATGTTCGGTATTAACAGGATGCAATAAAATTAGAAATGAATTGTTTTTAGATATCAAATTCAATGTTAACAACGGACATGGTCAACGGAGTAGTAGTCGTCGTAGTGAATACAATCAAAATCAATTTAACCACGATAAAATCACGATAAACGCAACGAGAAATATAAAAGGACCAACAACAGTGGTACAGCTACATTAATTCGCATACTTACTTGCCGTATGAAGGACCATTTAAAAAGGATAGAAGTACGTAAGTAACGTTCAAACGATATAAGCAACAAAAAGATAAAAAGAAATACAAAAGGTAAGAAGAAGTTTTTCTGACCAATCGTAATAGCCTTATTACCTTGAACCTTTGACTCAAGAATTTATACCGTAATTATATTCCTGAATATCGGCACACTGACTGCATCTGACAACGCGCTGTTAATTATCGTGAAATAAACTACCGGTCCGAGTGGCAAGATGAGCGATGCACTACTAGCCGCCGCCCCCGCCTCCACCATCATCCGAAAAATCTTCAATTTTTCTATGTTTTATAATACCTTTTTTTACCGGGTTTTAATAAAGTGTCGGATTTAACGGATGAACATTTTTTCCCTAGAACACACAAAGATAATTATTTATCTCCATCTGTCGGATTTATGCATATTACTTGTTTCACTTTTTGTTATTTCTACGAATCGTGTCAACTTTTGTAAAAATATTTCGTAATTTGTCGTGATTATTATTATTATCGTAATCTTTATCGTCGAGTAAAAACAATAATAAGTTTTTAATGATATAGTTATAAAAAGCCACGATCGAAATAATCCGTGAATAAATTATGTTTTTATTAAATTTTATATAATTATTTTATTAATTTAAGTCAAGATGGAGAAGATATATTTATATCATGTTTTTTTTGGATATTTAAATTTTAATTATAATAACGATTCTAATATACAATATCTAGTTTAAAAGTATTCTTTTTTTTTTTTCTTATGATATCTATCCAATATATTGTCATAATAAAATGTTTATATAATTGTTACTTTAAATGATCACGGTCAAGGTAACGAAATATAATATTTGACTAGTGCATCGGTTGTTGATGGTGCATTCGACTTTGGAAACACAAAAATTAAGCGGCGTTTTAACGCCCGAGGCTCAAATAGATTCCTAAGTCATTCTTATGTCTGATCATAGAGATTAAACTTTTTCTAGTCTCGGTCAGATAAAATATAGTCGGTCTCTAAGAATCGTAACAATTACTTTTCTCTTCATTTATCACCCTGTAAGTGATAATTCTCGTATTTGCCCTACAAACAAACGATATCCTGAATCTAATCTTTTGTTATAATTATTTTATAAATAAGCGAAAATTGTATTAATTTCTATTGTAAAATATACAAAACTACAATCAATACAACAATTTATTACTATAACTTTCTTCTAATATGTTATATATTTTATACTTAAACATTTATTCGAAAGTTCGTTAATATTATAACGTCATATAAAATCAATTATATTAATCATAATCATCATCAATAAATAAACAAATTACAAGGTAAAAAATCATTTGCAATGCTGCACATTGAATAGAACACACTTACGTAATTATTTCCCATTAGAAGATCAGTGTAACGCGAGTTGCAACATGAGTGAGGTTGCGGATAATAAAAAACAAAAAATAACAAAAAAGGCAGGAGGTCAGTATCGTTTGTATTCAGACAACCTGTGACAACATATGCGACGTACGTTGGCCGTAATGCAGATATATAAATATATACATACTTGCTGTGGTATTTCTGAAAGAGCATGCATTCATACACGGTCACATACGCGAATAGTACGCATGCACATAAACACCATATGTGGTTGTCGTCGATCAAAGGGGGAAAGGGGTGGGGTTTGAAGGGGGGTTAGACAACGTAGACAGGGCCCCACTGGAATAACCCCACATGACTCCACGCACGAAATACGCGCGCCGTTATGCTCTTGAATTCTCTCTTTTCCTTTGAACCCCATAAAAAAAGAGAGAGAGAAAGAATGTACCTGTGTATTTACAAGTACAAGCAGAGAACATATGCCAGCCGGTGGCAACAAGACGCGACGACACGTGGAAATCGATATTTTCGAGGTGGACCTGTGCATTTTACCTGTATTTAACCCCTT